TAGTCGATCCCTTAGTATTTTGTACTGTCTCCCCGGCAACGGCGCCAAAATTTGATCTCAGCGGTGCAGTTGACAAATTCAGGCATCAAATATTTTCGTACTTATTCTGGAAGCCTGGAATGGAAATTTATGTTAACCATATTCACAGAAAGAAATTACCTTCTTATGTGTTCCCAGAGGGTTATATAAAAAGCCAGCATCCTAGTATCATTAGCCAGCTAGTGGTTGATAAGGCACCTCGAGAAGGTGGTGAGGATAGCGGGTTAGGACTTTCTGAAAGACGCCAAAAAAGAAGGGATCTTTCTGGTTTGGAAGTGAAAGAAGAAAGACTGGAGAAAAGGCAATCTATTAGCTTTCAGATGCAAAGTTCAGTCTCTCCTGAACTTTTTTGTTCAAGTAGTGGGTATACATTGAAAGACTGTTCCTCTATATTGTCTGAAATGAAGAAAGAAAGGGATGCAGTGAATGGATCTTGCCTGCTCAACATTGGAATGACCGCGTAAGTGATCTGTTATATTATCGTTCTCTCTCCTGGACTATTTGTTCAAGAAGTGGGGTTACATTGAAAGGCTGTTTCCTTGACAGTGTCGGAAACAAAGAAAGAAAGGATGGAGTGCATGGATCTTGCCAGCTTAACGTTGAACTGACTGTATAACTGATCCACAATTTCTCGAGGAATGTGTTTGCTGAAACTATTGTGAGCTAGATGCAGCAAATCGATGATAACAAGGACGCCAATGGAGATTTAATATAAAGTAAAGGAATGTGCTATTCAGCAAATCGGATGCTGCTTTCATCTCGAATTCTAGCCGTGGTCTCCTTGCAAGAAACTACAATTTTAACCCAGAAATTGGCAGTCAGGGACTTCTCAAGGCCTAATTCGTACAAGAATGATGCTCTCATTTCTTGAGGACGGACTACAGGAGTAGTTAAGGTTTTGGGTTTTAAGTTTCCTTTGCCCCTTAATGTAATATATCATTTGACACTTCCTATTCTCTTTTTTATGCATATACATTTAGGTTCGACATTGCAATGATATTGTTGTCTTGATGTACATACTCTATCTAATTAATACAACTCTTCAGAAATGTTTGGAAAGTCTTGTATTATTACTTGCATAACATCACTTTAACCTCTACATTGCTTTTGCCTTCTTGAAGCCTAATGGCACAAATGGGATGGTTCTCATATCTGGAGCTGCAGTTGGTTCAGAACCTGTTCAGAAGGCTGTGACGAGGCAAGTTTATATAAATTCGATATCTAATGTTGTTTTCTCAATGTTTTTCATACCTTTTTTGTCATTATGATGCTTTTTCATGACTTTCTTGGCCATTTATACAGCAGGTTAGTCTGTCTTCAACTGCCTGAAAAGGTCGATCCTACAATGGAAATGTAAAAAAATGATGAATGAGACAGAAAGTCATCACCTCGCGTAAGTATGAATGGAGTTCATTTCTGAATTTCTTCTTACTTTGTTATTTTTCTAGACCAAGGTACTTCAATCTTGAAGAACGGGAAAATAAGCAGTTGCAAGTCGAAGGGTGCTCACTGGTTGCTTAGAAGCCTGGCTTAAAGTTTGTAGCTTTTAAAGAATGCTGCCGTGGTTTTGAAGTTATCCTCTGCATTCTGCTCACTACAGAAGGCCATTATTTTCCGCTTGGGGTATAGAGGAGTAGTCTTTGTTGTTTTTCTGTTATTAGTGTTCTATTTTGGTTTAGGAGTATATATTTGTGTTGTTTCATTATTAGTAGTTGTCGAATGTTGTATAGGGAATTTTAAGCGAGGTTCGCCTATGCTTCTTGTATCTTTCACCAGATTCGATTTTTTATATAGTGACAATTTTGTCTTCGATCTTTTTGTATCTATTTCGAAAGATAGTAAGGAGGTTATGGCGTGTGATTAAGCAAAAGATTTTTGTATATGGCTCAAAAGTGTCTCCTAATTATTTCAAAAGGGTCCTTATTCTTTGCTTGACTTTGGAAGTCAGCTGTCCATAATTTGTATCCCCAGTTATGTTTGGCAAAGATTTTAAATGTTTATAAGTTGATTAAACATTAAATTTTTTTTTTTTCAGAATTTGTTGAAAATAAATGAGAAATTATTTTGATCAATAATTTACCTTCATTTCCTCATATTCTAGATGAGGAGTCATTTAGCTTCCATCAGATCTTTTCTGTAAGATGATAATTTATCTCTAAAGCACATTTCTAGACACAGAAGAATATTCACATACAGTGAATTCGTCAAAGATGGCAATACTAATAGAAGATAGCAACTTCAAGGATGACCATGTGTATATGTGTATGGTGCTTCTATATAATATCAATTATCGACCATGTGTTGTTGTGCCGTACCTCTCTCAAGGTTGTCCCTAAATCTAACACATAACACTAGAATCTAAGCAAAATAAAGACGGGCCATGTTGTTCTCTTATGGAGCAATAAACGATAAGAAACACAATTGATACGAGAAGTTTGAGATATAACATCCAACCAACACTAGCATTTTGAGCATGAAAATTAGATTCGAGGCTTTGCACAGGGAATTTTAGAGAGTTAAATGTTTGAGTAGCCATTTAAGCTTTGTACATGTCATGACAGGTTCACAGTCATTTAAAATTTATTTCATTGATGATTCAACTTTACTCCGTCAACTCCATTGACCATTCAATGGAAACCGTTAGTAAACTTGACTACTAGGCTGATGGTATGGTGATAAGACACATTAAATGGTTACTCAAGTGCCACGTCAACAGCAAGTAAGCAATGTCAAACAAGACTTCAACTGTGGAGAGCAAATAAACCACGCTTTTCCCATTCATTACTCAAATATTTAACTCAACATGAATATATACATTGATTTAACAAAATCGTCTCCAAAGAGAAACACCAAATCCTCCAAGAGACCATGAAATCAGATATTCTAACTCCCAATTCCTCCCTTAAATCTACCACCACAATAGAACTCAACCAATGAGAAACCCGAGATAGCTATTATTTTCGGGGATGTTGAAAAGATGGGAGCTGTAAATGTGAAATCTTCATTGCCAGCATCAATTCCACTCTTGATTTGATTCCACAAAGCATTAACAAAAGCTCATTCACCAAACTTTATCCCTCAAAACAAATGATTCCAAGAAGCCCTGTTTCTGTTAACAAATCATCTCTTCTTCTTCTTCTTTTTTTATCGACTCCCAAATCTAAATCGAGGGTTGCAGTTCGATCTTTCTCTGCTTCACCACCGCAAGAACGAGTTTTCAAGAAAAGATTAAAAGAAGAATGAGAGAATTGGGATATGGGGTTTTCATGACGACGTTGATTTTGGGTTGAGAAATGCTATTCATCCGGGATGAATCCCAATCTACGTGGATGTAAATGATTGGTTAAATGATAGGTGAAATTAGATGACTATTATTTCGCCTATTATTTAATTTTACCTATTATTTAATGCCACATTAACACCACATAGACTGGGATGCATTCCCAGTGGGGATGAATAGCATTTTTCATTTGGGTTTCATCATAATTTTTGCTGCAGAATATGGGTTTTCGTGTATGATTTACGGTGTTTTAAAACCCAAATTGTCATCTGATATTGTAAGAATTTGGGTGAAAAATCATGGGTTTTCGAGGACTTTAATGAAAGATTCTTGTTCTTGAAGAATGA